AAAAATGTTTAAGTCTTAGCAAAACAAGGACACCTTGGTTGCTATTCTGCAATATCAGTCATACACTGCTGATAAAGGCTAGTTAAAGATTGAGGAACCATCATAAATCATCCTGAATCCAACCTGTTATTAAATATGTCAAGAAGTGGAGCCCACTGGGTTGATAAAGGTGACATTCCAGATATGCTCTTCAGCTATTATTTTCAGTTTTTTTTTTTCTAAAAATTCAGAGAAATAAAGACAGGAATAATACCCAATGGGATGAAAATTAAATACTTTCTGGCAGCTTCTGGTTGTGGACAGAGTCAGAATATTTAATAAATATGTTCTTTTTAGGAACATAAACAAATCAGCAGTGATAAATAATGTTTTCAGAAGCCAACCCATCACTTAGGATAGAAACCACATTTCCACAAGGAGTTCAGAAGCCTGCACTGGCTGGGTTTGGGTATAGGAGAGGTTGCTGTCAGGGAGCAGCAGAGTGAGGCAGCTTCCTGGGGCTGGGGCACTGGGGGCTCCCCCAGGTGGGTCATGGAAGGGCCAGCCAGGAGCAGGGCAGCCAGGGGCCACCGGCACAGCCCCAGCCCCAGGCATCAAGTACCTCCCTGGGCATGGGGCCAGGCCGAGGCCTGTCTGGGATGTGGTCCCGCAGGTGGGCCCAGCTCAGGGGTGCCCATGGCTGGGCAAGGGCAGGGCTGTGGGGAGCTGGAGACTGGCCCTGCTGTGGGAGGGACTGGTGGCCCTGGGGGGCTGCAATGAGTTCCTGAGCTGTGAGCAGGGTGGGGGGAGCCCTGGGAGGCTAGGAAAGGCTAAGTGGTGAGTGCAAGCTGTATTAGTCTCTAGTGGTTAACTAAGCAAACTATTGGTCTGCAAAGTAATTTTTAAAATAGGGTTTGGGATCTAAGGTGAGGTTGCTTAGGGAGGAAACTTGAAACAATTTAAGAAGGAAAAAAAAAGCTTAAGTGACAGTTAAAAAGTTAATAATAAGAGGTGGACTGTCATACAGACTAAGACCTACTGAAAGACGTTTTCAGTAATGTTTTCATAGTCATAGTTAAAACCTCTGATACAGAAATCAGAGTGCCGTGTTCTAATGTTTGGAATATTTCCCTTGTATTTCTTTTCAATGCTCATTACTCATCTCAACATTATGAGTAATCATGTTTCAGTTTGCAATGCGTTTGTATTTCTTTTTAAATTAAGAGTCTCCCGCAACGTTCCAACTTTCTGTCTCTGACTGGCACAGCAGGGGAAAAAATAACACCACATTTTGTGTTTATCTGAGCTATTTATTCACATTACTACAGTGCGTGAGTGTCTCATCCTGTAGTGTATACATGTTCTTGCAGTAGTCATTGGCAGAGGTGGTGGCATTTCATTGAAATGAAATGTCCACACCTTTTCTAGGGATCTGGATTGAGATGACTTCTCCAGGTCACACAAGTTAGGTCTGAACTGGTGAACAGACCATGGGTTGGATTGAGTCTGTGCTGCTTAGCGGCATCCCCCTCCCTGTCAAATTAATCTGAAATAGAAATAGTTACAGCCGTCCCAGGTGGAGAGAGAGTCCACTATTGTCCAGCTAGATTTTGCTCCCTTGCTGTCATTTATAAATCATGATAGACATAGCTGCAGAAATACAGTCTCCCAAACCATGTATTTGTAACCTAAGTGGTGAATTGCATTTATTCTATTTAGAAATGCTTTTGTGGAGTAAACTACGTGTTGTGGAGATGATTTCGTCATACACAGGGAAAAGAAAGAAGTGCGCCATGCTCAGGGACATGAATCTCTCATTAATCTGGTAGGCATTTTCTTAAGCAGGGATTCCCAGGGGCTCTCTTCAGCACAACACATATTGCAAAAAAGTGTTTTGAGAGCAGCCTTGATATTTTTCTACTTGGGCCAAATTGTACTGAGATGGAAGTATTAAAGAAGACAGTTATTTAATCTTTACTTTACAGAAAAACTGAAATACAAACCAACTGACAAAGCAAAGGACCTTTTGTTATGCAGTAGAAGTGCTGTGCAAAATCCTCCTATGTGAGTTTAAAATTCAGCATTAGAAATTAAAAGGCGTAAATCAAAGTGTGATATTTCAAACAATATAAGAAATACCAGGAAGTTGGGAAGCAGGAACTTCTCTTAGCTTTCTGTTGTTTTCAGTTGTTGCCTTACAACTGCAATGTAAAAGACCCTCTTGCAAATTGAAGGCTTTCAGTGTTTATTAATACCCAGATAATTTTCTTCTAATGACCTTCCTGCCTGCATTTTTCAATTTAAGTTGGTTGGGTAGCATGGTGTTTAGCAGGAATAATATATAATTGGTTGGCCATGCAATCAGCTGAGAATTTTTTGTGTTTCTTAACTTTTATTACTCGTTAGATGTAAAAGCCCTCTGACTCAAAATGTACCTGGATTTTCTTCACTGATCACAAGTACAAATAGTTGTTTCTTCACAACAGAAAATGTCTAATGTTATTAATTTTTCCAAATGTTCCATGCATTTCATGCTATCACAGTGAATCTCTGAATGTGCCTTTCTGCAGCACAGTATTGGAACGCCATGTCTATGTTGATATTTGGGTTTTTTGAAGAAAGCTTATTTCTTAAATTCTACAGCAGTTCCTTATTCTGTTGATTTCTTACCTACCTATGTAACCGATTTCTTAACTGGTTCATAATTTCATAATTCCAGTTATGAATACAGTGAGTTTTGCTGGGAACTCTGTGTGGTATACCTGAATATGCTTTTACATATACGCATGCAGAGTTAAGAGGAGAGAATGAGGATGGAGATTCTTCTGATCTTTTTCAGTTTGGGTTAGTTTTGAGTTCCTTATAGCTTCACCAACTCAGCAAATTTGTCATTTTCCTGGGCATATAAATTTTCTCCTGGGTTTCTTGGGCTTTTTTTTCTCATAAATTAGAGATAATCTTTCTGAGGCAAATGTTAACATTTGCAAACACTAACACATAGGAATCATTTTATCAAAAAAGGAACCTGCAGCAAGAGAAAAACAATTCTGATTGTTTCTGAAAAATTAGAATACCAGCAAGCCAGGGTTAGAATACCAGAATGCCTACTGTTCTTGGTTTTAGGATTAAATCACTTCCGAGAACATTTTGACTTTCTAAGAAGTTTGGATCCCTGGCATTTTGCATTGAGTGAATTATTCCTTTGTTAATAGAATAGAGTATTATTCTGAGTAGAAGAAGAGATGTAACCAGAATTTTACCCATCGCTTCTCTAAATAAAGGTATAAGACTATCTTGCTGTCCTATAAAGGCAAAGCCAAGCAAACAGATCCTTTCTCTGCTTCTTTCTTTCTTTCTTTCACTGTCCACAGTGGTGACCCAGTTTTGTTTTGGTTATTCAGTCAGATCTTCTTGTGGCTCAGATAAATATATGGTGCATTGACTGAAGTTATGCTGAAGTTTATATGAGCTGACAATCTTAATTTTGTTAGACTTCACCTTCCCAACCCCCCCTACAGAACAAGATATAAATTATGTGCGACACCATAATTTCATAGATTCAATACACGAGATTAAAAACATCATCAAACCTCATATGTTTACTCCTTTTGAAAATAGCAAGCTAGATAATTTTAAAGGCAAGACGAAGACCTGGCAAAAAAGGTACAAGAAGAGTGAGAAAATAGCAGCACTTCTGTATCTTATGGTTTAAGTCAGAAAAAAGATTATTTGTACCTCCAAAAGGTTTATTTTTTGTCTATCCAACCCTAAATGATTTCTGAACTGAGAATGGAAAGGAGTCTGGAAACTGACACCTTATGTTCCATTAATTAAAAATAATATCTGGCATTCTGCTTCTGCTTTGCTCAGATTCTGTATAGAAACTTAGTAATGCCACATTGCAGATATTAAGAGATATTCAGGGCAGTGGGATAAGAATAAGAATGAGTGAGTTCTTGAAATTAGAAAGTTTCTCTTCTGATTTAACATCACAATATAACTGCACAATACCTGAGGCTGTTCATTTCTGCATTATCACTTTGTTCTCATTGTGCACCTCAATAAATACATTCAGCTCTCAAAGTCGTTTTAAAGGAAAAAAAACACAAAGCCTCTCAAGCTGTCAAAAAATCACCCCTTCTTCTCAGAGAACACATGTTCATTTTTAATCTAAACAGGCAATTCTTTAAAGTCAAGTTAGAAGCACTGAGACTTAATGGGTAGCTGTTTCATGTGATCTCTTAATACACCAGGGTCCTTAGTGACCTTTCTCCCCCCGCAGTAAATTTAAGCTTTATTCTACTCAAGGAGGGCTATAATATACTTAACGTATATTTTATAGCACAAAGTGTGCATTAGGAACAATGAAAATGCTGGAAGTATCAGTCAAAGTTCATTACTTCATGATAAATAATTTAAATACAAGCAAATTAGGTGACTTTCTAAGTAAAAACAAACAAAAAAATCCCAGAGAAAATGGCTGTGGTTTTTTGAGGGATAGAGTAATCCTGGACAGACATCTGTCACTGCCACACTACGCAGTTTCCTTTTGCGGTAAATGATGCTGTCCTTGGGGCCACATAGGTGGTGGTGGGACTGAACTACGATCATTGAAGCAAACAATCCTCAGTGTGACTGCTTCAGGCTTAGTGCTTAAGGCAGAATTTCTAGCAATGAGTGCTGTAAGATAAATACTAGAAGGACTAAAACCAAACCAAAATAAAATAAAAAACACCCCAGTTACTAGAATATTCTTGACTTAGGGAAGTTTTCTAGAATAGATGTAGAACCCAAGAAATCCCAGGTTAAAAAATTAACTATGCTGGGTGGAAATGATCCTGAACAAAATGATCGACTTGCCAGAAGTAGCACATGAGGAATTACAGCAAGAGGTGAGAAGGTTAAAAACTAAATAGAATGGTGCTAACAGTAGTATTATAGTTTTTATATCTTATGTGCAATAACCTTTTATGAAATTTAATATGTCATTTTATATGATTTTATGTGTATATATTCTACAGCTGCACTCCAATTCTGACAAAGGTGATGGATCAGTCAAATACATTCTTACTGGAGAAGGGGCGGGGACTATATTTATTATTGATGACACGACTGGAGACATCCATTCAACCAAAAGCCTAGATCGAGAGCAGAAGACACACTATGTGCTTCATGCCCAAGCTATTGATAGACGGACAAACAAGCCGCTTGAGCCTGAATCTGAATTTATTATCAAAGTGCAGGATATCAACGACAATGCACCAAAATTTACAGATGGACCATACATTGTTACTGTGCCAGAGATGTCTGAAATGGGTAAGGAAAACAAATTGTTCTATTCAACAATCTTTTAACAAGTGAAAATGCCACATACTGTTTGACAAAGTTATGACACATTATTGTATCATTGATTGTATGTAAAAGATATTACAGTTGAGATGATAAGAAGACATCAAATGCAACCTTGTGTGTTACTTGGGACATCCATATTAAGAACACAGGACACACACACGCATGCTGACTGTAGAGGAGAGTCACTCTTATTCTTGAATGCTTTAACAGACATTCCTGGGCAAATGGTACTTTGCACTCTAGAAACAAGATGTATTCATATATCCTCATTTAACTACACACTTTATGGCATTCTCTTATGTCTACATGAGTAGTCTATGCAATTCACAGAATTAAACAAATACAAAGGAACAGTAGTTTTCTAGATTATTGTAGACCACGGTGTCATCTGTTTATTTACCTTTATTAAGTTTCTTATAAAGTGAACTGAAGTTCCAAAAAGTACTGATCTTTGGTTTTCGCTGTTAGGAATGTAGTTCAGATATTCTTTGAGGTGCTACATTATGCAATAAGCTTTCTTTATTGCTTCTCTGGTGTTGAAATTAGTTTATAACTTTCCTCTAATACCACAACATCAAAGCTACATAACTAGTCTAGGATAGACAGATGGAAATATGACTTATGCTAGATATTTTTTAAGAAAGCTTAACTGTCATGACTGGTCTTTGTGAAATATGTCTGTTGTCTTTTATTATTGAATGGACAGGTAGTTACGTCATGAACACACACTTCTCCCTTTACCCCCCAAACCCCTATACACCCCATCTAAGAAACAGCCTTCAAGTCCAAGATGTGTCTAACTTTCCCAAGTGAAAAGTAGATAATTTGTTCTTCTCTCCTTGCTGTTTGTCTAATAAGCAGGTGATAGACTTCAACTTCTGCAGACTAGAATTTTAAAAATTTAAAGGGAAAAATATTAAAATACACATAGTTAGTCAACTGTCATAACAATATTGATCATACATATAAGAACGAATGAATATTGTCATTGAATCTTAATGGCTTGTCATAATTTGATCACTTTGAATGGTAATGATAGCTCATATGAATAGATAAGAAAACAACAGAAGTGTTTTGTTCCATACTTGAACACATACCTATAACAGGACATGTTTTTAATGTAGAATTCCCTGTTTTAACTAGCTAAGCATACTATCACAAATATCATTCCCACAAGAAGTTTATGGAAGTACAGAAGAATGGTATTTCTGTGAGTAATGTCATAACACCAGGACTATTTAAGCAATGCACCTTTGTGGGAGGTACTACAGTGAGGGGATAGAGCTTCCAGCAAGAATATTGTGGGCCTGTATGAAACCTCTTCAGTTGTCTTTGATAATTCACTGTGGCAGAAAGCTTTACTGTTAGAGTTGCAGTTCATTTCAGTAACATCTAAGCTCTTATCTCAGTTGTCACACAGACTGTTTTGATGTGAAATGCATTTCCTTTATCGACTGTCTCCAAAAAATGCATAACTCTGTCTTCCTCTTTCTTCAGTTTCCTTTGTCTTTAATGGGGACCATTTTAATTAATTGATTGTTTTTTCCCCTGTAGAAGCCTTTTGTTTTCTGCATAGGAAGAAAGACAGTGGAAAGGAAATCAATATTATCATCAAAGTCAAAAGCAGCTGATATAATTATTTTTCATTTGTTCACTCTATAAAAGTTCTCTTTTTCTTTTCGTGCTCTCAAAATGTAGTGTTCTTACATGGATGTTAGTCATAATTCTGTAGTAGTCTGAATCTTGGTATTACTGTACAACTACGTTATACAAGTTACTGTTTTCCAAGAACAATTCAAATAGTCTGGGATGGCATTTTGGGTTATAAAACAGAATGGATTATGGTAAACCAAGGAAGTTTTAGTGATAAAATAAAGCATTAATGCATATGTTTTACAAATGAAATACTTTACTGGTTGTACCTGAGGTAAATCATTAAAATATCCTTTCCACAAAGCTTTCCTGTTGTGTGAATAAAACTGAATTTTCATATTGCACCATACAGGCAATCTGCTGTAGGCATACATTATATTTTCATTGCAAATTTATGATCACTATTTTCTTTTTCCCTTATTGATTTGTTTGTGTTTGTGGCATACTGAAAGCATTTTATTGTCTGCAGTCTCAGGAAGAGTAATTCTATTATTGCTTCCACAGGATACATTCTTTCTGTCAAATAATGGAGATCCCTATGCCATTTTTATTAGCTCTGTAATTAGCATGTTTTTTGACAATTAGCTGTAGAGTCTATACAAATCTGTACTTCTTGTTGTTATTTTATGAATTCCTAATGATGCTTCACTACTTTAAGAATTTCTTCCACTTTTTTGCATGGTCATTTAAAGAACTTTTAATGTTACTGTCTCTCTATAACAGCCCTCATGCTGAGTGACAGGTGGTATTTTTGAACTCTGTTATGCTGTTTAGTTTCAGCAGCAGGTTTCTGTCTGTCTCCTCATGAAGTTAACTGGTATTTTTCCCACAAGTTGAACCTTTCTTGATCTACCTGTAAAAGCTGTAGGACCTTTATGGCTTTTTTTTTTTAGGTCACTGACAAGTGAAAGTACAGGTAAGTTTTGTTAAATTATTTGCCAAATACTAGATCACAGTGTTCACTGTGGCACAAAGTGAACATATTATTTATGCTTTATGTACTATGCTGAAAGAGCTGAAAAAAACCACTTGTTCCTTGCCTTCATTGAACCTTTTTCCTAAAAGTTGGCTCAAGAACCAAGGTTTATATCTGAAATGGTTTCTTCTGCAGTGTAAAAAACTCAGTCTCATTGACAGCTATAACAATGCTCTGTTTTAAGGTTTATGAGTCATCATTATCTAAATTTAAAAGGAAATAAAAACATTTTTCAGTCAGTAAAAACATATCTGCTCATTTTCAGATAGCTTCAAAATGAGTGAAATACTGCATATTAAATTTTTTTATTGTTGAGGTCATGCGTAAGAAGAGTATTCCCAATAAAGTCTACTAAGGAAATCAATAGACACACTGGACTTTTCTGAACTTCTTTCCAGAGTATTATAATGTGAGGTAGTCAGAATTTCAGATAATCTGGAAGACAATATTCATGGCATTCATAAATATGATTTGTATGAGAAGTGCCTATTTATCTTCCTGTGTTGTTTGATTGTTATCTTCTAATGAAGGTAGCTGACAAAAAAAATTGAGATTTTCTGCAGTAAGGACTTGGATCAGTAATATAGTCACTGGACTAGAAGTGTTGATTTCCTGGTGAAATCACTATTTTCTGATGTAGAATGAAACTAAAACATGTTGTGTTGACTTGTTAGTGTTTCAAGACAATTTTAAGTATTAGTTTAGTTAGATGGAAAATCCCTATGTTCATTAAACTTCACCCTTTTTTCACCACTTCTACTTTTTGTTCAATATTGATCCATTTGAGATTTTAACAGTGCAGCAAGCTATGGAAAGTCATGCACACAGATTTGCATTCTCAACAGATATGTTTTATTGAACTGCCTCATTAAACATTAAAAATTTGTATTCAGAGAGACAGATTGAAGTATTTCCCTTCAGCTTTTCTTTGATATATAACTTTACAGTTTTTTTATTGTAAACATATTTTAAAAAAGGGAAAAACAAGAGATTTTGAAATAAAACTACAATTTGATTTCCCAAATGAAATTAACCTTATTTTTGATAACAGAAAAAAGGCAAAGCTTACAGAGTGGCGTTCAGAGCATACAGACGTATTTTACAGCTCTGTATAAAGCATTAGCTAAGAAAACAGAATTCCCAATGTGTAATCTCTAAACTGTAGCGGGAAATCATCTGGAATGGTAGTTGTACTCTGAATAAGCAGAGCCTCCACTTGGGGAAAAAAGTCTTTTTTATTGCCTAACTGGAGTGTCAAAATGCTTTCATAGCAAAATTTTGAGGTTTTCTTGACAGGCACTTTCACAGTAGGTTAGTGAAGAAAGTATGGAAGGTATGCCTCTGGGTCCGATATTCATATGTGTTCTGAGGTCTCCAGGGAAATTAGATCCTTATTTTTTGTATTAGATTATATTCTTCTGAATTGTTAACATTAAAAACGGCAAGGCAGCTGTACTGTGTACTTTTCCATCTAAATCCTTCATTACACATAGCTCAACAGCAAAAACTGATGCTGCATCTGCATGGTACAAATATGTTTGGAATCATGATTTGTCTGTCATGTTGATGAGCTGAATGATGCTAACTTTGAAAGGAGTAATTGGAAGGTAAAGGTACCCTCTTTACCTTTTTTTCTCGCAAGGCATTCTAACCTGCAGCTTTCAGAAGCTGCCTTTCCTCTGTGCTCAGCAAATCAGCTGAGAGTTAGGCAAAAGGCAAGTATGGGTACATCTTATAAGATGCTGAGTGTGCTTGTGTAATACAGTGAAGAAATTAAGCATCTGATGAGCTACATTGCACTGAATGAGGGTTTGAGAGATGGGGTGGAGGGGTGAGTTAAAACTTCTAAGTGTTTTTTTAGATGTAAAGTGAACACTTTGCCACTATTCAAGACTATTCAATACCAAATTACTATTATCAGGTGTTTCTTAGGAAAGAAATACAGATGTATTAGAAAATCACTGCGGTGGATTTTAAGGTATAATAGCATTCCATTCATGCTAAAATGACCTGTCAGCTGCTTATGTGAGATATCGCCTTTCACTAGGCCTGTTTCTTTGTCCCACATCAATGAGCATACAAGCACTCAGATTCTATCCCCTACTTTCTAAAATAAGGAGAGGAGAAAAGAAAGTCTCTGAAGAATGAGAGAACCATGAAATTTCAGTATTTCTGGTATTTTCTTCTTCTGAAATAGCCAAAATCTGTTCATCCATTCCAAAACCTACCTTGATTTTCTAGAACTATGGGGAAAAAGTGCAAATGGGAACTCAACCTGTTAGATGAGTAGGCAACTGTTGGTAACTGTTTTCCTGGAAGCAGGAAAATCTATAGATAAAAAGGTACAGAAGTTGCCCAGCACTCTGGGTAGCAAACTCTGGTAGGTGACCGACTATACCTATTGGATGGGTATCTTTTTGTTGGATGTAGTAAAAGAAATAAAATCATTGTGTATCGGTAACCTGTTAATCTTTAATGATTCCACAAGATTCCAACATAAAATAATGAAGCCACGAATAAAGGTAAAACAACAAATTAGTGCGGACAGGCCTTCACCCTTGAATACAACAAGCTTAACTAGAAGACAGAAAGGTCACACAGCTTTTCCACCTCAAGTTAGAAATTATTGCCAAACTGTGCTACAGACATATATCATTACAGTATTTAGATAAGCTATAGAATAGGGGAAAAAATGCATTTCTGTTCTTTGAAGTGACCTGATGTGGTTTGTAAGAACTCTTATACTAAGTTTAGATAGCAAATAAATATGACTGAATAGATTCCTAGAACATTTTAAGAAAATTACACTAAGTTTAATTCGTATTTGTTTACCTTGCCACATAAACTCAAATACAGTAATTTAGTCTGTTTTACCATTAACTCCTGAATAACTATGAAGAGGCTACTAGCTCCAGCTTGATTTTATTACAATATTCAACTTCGAATTCATCAAGGTATCCTCACATCTGCTGTGTGAATATATTCATCTATGAGACTGTATGCATTTGGGCTGTTCAGAGACAAGAAGGCACTATGTTCAAGTATGCAGACATGTTTGCTGTATCTTTTACTAAATCTCCAGTAGAGATACAAAAAGCAACTTTCAGTGTCCAACTTAGTATGGCACAAATGAATGAACAGTTTCTCAAATAGAGAAGAAAAATAGTGAAGAATCCAAATCTGTGAAGATTTGCACACATGCTTTGCCGTAATCGAAGTGATATTCCATGATTTTAGGTATTTCTATTCCCAATGTACACAGAGGGTGTGCACATTAACAAACAGTTCTGTGCAATGGAAACTGATCTATGAAGTTAAACAGTGGGAACTGAGGATCCACTGTCCGCACCATATGTTTTTGAGAAGTCTTATTTCAGACTAGTTCTTGTCTGGTCTCTGAGACTAAATGGCCATTAGCAGTTAGAATAAATCAGATGTTCTGCTAAAGCACATCTTTTGGTTGAGTTTCATCCGAAGGAATCTAGTTAGCATGCTCTGAAACTGTCCCATGAGGCAAATCAAAGTACGGCAAGTGGGGGAGATCAAGGGATTCAATTCAAAAGCATACTTTCCTCACAACTAAGATGTGAAATTGAACACCCCAGAGTGGAGGTGATGCCTCAGTGGTCAATTTGACTGAGAAGCCACTTTCAGATGCAGAATTACATGAGAGAAGCCTGTTCTGTTATTATTATTCCTGTATTTTAATACTGGGCCAAACGAGTCTGTAGAAAGCAGTGTCTGTAGAAGGATAAACAAGTGGGATGAGGACTGAACCTTTATTAACTTGCCAGTTTTTCATTTACTGATTTCTTATGTGAAGTGTTGGGCAGTGATAGCAAAAAAGGTTCCTCATTAAATGTCTTGAAAAATACAGTAAAATGTAAAATCACCTGTCTCTATTCTAGCTGTGCAGTACTTACGCATTTTGTTTTCTACAAAGTGTTATCATTAAGTTATCCCACTTAGTGACATGCTAGAAACTGTGATTTTATTTTTCTAATGGTATTTATCAACAGGATACAAATATTTGTCTTTTGAACTCCTTATCTTTGTAATTTGGATCCGTCATTGGAATTCCAACAAGGTTCTAGTAGTTATTTCATTTTCAAATCTTTGATGCCTTCCTGTAGCTAGATTTTTTGATTCCCTTATAATCTTTTATTGATTTGGGGGCATTTATGCAAATTATTTTAAATATGCACTTCAACATTAATTTGTATTGTGGATGAAGATAATCCTGAAGTCCATAAATATGAGTTGTTCAGAAGCCTAAGCAATATCCAAATTTGGGGTCTATGTGTGTGAACATGCATAAATATGCATGCTATGTAGTTACTATTTATGTTTATATATATATGTAATTACGTTACATATACATATATAGACAGAAAGAGAAAAAGTTTTTTCAAATGAGTGTAAATAGTTTTCCTTAAAAATATGATAGGTTAATAACATATAGAGAAAATGTTATTAATCTCTCAATTGTAGAATGTGAGGACTGTAGATGTTTCAAAAATGCATCTAAAAACTATTGATATTTGTCAGAAAATTATATTTATTATCAATTAACTTTTACTTTCCTGTATATACAGGTACATCTGTTCTACAGGTGACAGCCACAGATGCAGATGACCCTACATATGGAAACAGTGCCAGAGTAGTGTACAGTATTCTTCAGGGACAGCCATATTTCTCTGTTGACCCTAAAACAGGTGGGTATTTTATATTTCTGTCAGTGTGATTTGGCTAATATGTGGCAGTTAACTAAGTCTCGTAGATGAAATCCAATGTACGAAACGCAGGTGGGTGGGATTTTTTTTTTTAATTCCTATTATAGCCTACTTCTTGCTTCAACACTATGAAATTTAGGAGTTCCTATTTTTTAGTAAAATGAGCCTACTGTGTACAGAATTAATTCTTCATTATGCCATGATGTGAGCCATTCAACCAAACTGGAATAGCACTTTTTCATCTTTTCAAGCCTCTGTTTAGGAAGTGACTCAATGTGCCTCATACGTTATGATTTTAAATGCTTTGTTTTGCCTGAAGGATAGGCTTGGGAGGATTATTGAATGTGTGCTTCAACACATATACCATAATAAATTAATATCATTCTTGTATTTATAAAACTACAGTATTGCCATTTCACTGAAAATTTATTCTGTGATTCTAGAAGTAGAATGAGCTGAAATATTTATGCTTAAATTCCATGCATCACCCTCTCTTTCTTTTCCACAAAGTGTAAGTTATATATAATGAATCCAAATTGGGTTCTTTAAAGAGAGAAGAAACCTCTCTTGGGGATGGGAGTTGTTACTAGTTTTGGATTTTCTGAAGAGCATCGTCTTAAATATTAATATGATGGCCTTTTTTTACTGTGCATTTATAGTCCTTAATAATGAGGAAATATAATTTAAGAAAGTACTTTTTTCATCTGAATTTTGTAACTGTTTTTCCCTATCTATGTCAAAGTTTTAATACTGAAGGGAAAGAATGAAATATAGTGGTCCCTACACTTAACTGTAGGGAAGAATAATGATTTTTAAAATGTGCTGAAGTGAAGTAAGTATAGTATAAATAGATTTCATTGTAGTATTTTTATGTTTAAGTGTCTTTGCTAGTGTTTGTTAATCTCTGTGGAACTTGGAGGTATACGCTTGCTTCATTACCGGGAGAAGTGTATCTGTGCCATCTCAGCTAGCTTTGAGGTTAGGCCTCCTTTGAGTAGGAGACTGGACTCAATGACCCCCAGAGGTCTCTCTCAACCTAAATTATTCTATAAATTTGTGAGCCTATGTTAGAAAGGCCTAAGAGTGCAAAGCCTGACAGGATCTTGTTGGAGGACTCTATAAGGTGCTGGGAGGCAAACCTGATGCAGACCTGTTCATACATACTGTGTTTCGGGAACGACTGCTGGCGCACACCTTACGCAGCCGTGTGTGAGTACAGTCTGGCAGAGTACTAGTGGGCACAGGCCAAAACCACTCTGAGGTACATGTTAACAACTAAGAGGTATGGAAAATCAGTGGTACAGTGCTCAAGCTCTCTCTGCCCTTGTTTTACTTAGAAATACAATGCTGGTCTACATTTCTGCTTCTGTTTTGTCACTCTGAGTCAATGACCTATATTTTTTATTTTGATAATGGTGTGGAACTTGTAATCTGGAGCTGCTTTTCAGTCAGTGAAGAATGATAGTGGGTGTTCTCAGTATCGGGTCTGTATCACAAAAGAAAATAGTATTGTTATATCACTGTTTGTATGTTATAAAGAAAGCAGATGGGAGTGTATTTTCACTTGCCAAGACTGAGGCTTTGACAGGGATTTAATCACTTTATGAACTTAAACTTGTTTTAATATGTGTATAGAATATGAAAATGTTTCTGATACCTTAGTCTATGAAAGTGGCAAGAGGAGGAGTACCTTATGAGGTAAGTAGACAGTGAAACAGTGAAAAAAAATGGAGAAGGCTTTTTGATTTGATAAGTTGGGGTTTTTTTATAATTCCAGAATAGCAATCAATTTAATTTGGCATGATACAATGGGAAGAAGTAGAATATTGGAAATTATGGGAAAGTCTTGAAGAACAGAGTGTTTCACTATGAAATTTCCCTTTGAATTGTTGCATTTTGAGACACTGATTTTCTAAAAACATCACTCTTCTGAATTTGCAAGCATTTCTGTGACCTATTTTTCCTAAGGCTTGAACTGTTCAGTTCCATCTTAGGTATATTTTATCTGGAAGTTTTCGGGATTTACTGTGACATGCACAAACTTCCTTTACCAGAAAGAGGTAGAAGGTCCAAAACAGGGTAAAAGACAGAGAAAGGTCCCAACATTTATGACCGAATGTAATGTTTGTGAAGCCAAAGGATCTTTCGTGGCTACCAGTAAAGCTTCTTGGAGCTATCAGATGCAGACATCAAGCTGTTCATAGCTCTAGTGTCGATACTCATCTTAAGAAGTCTTCTGCTTCTAGCTTAGTGCTGCCTAAACTTGGTTTTCAACAACTTACTATCTGAAGACTTTAAAATGATGGAGTTTTAGGAGCTTAGTTTAGAATAGTTTAAATAGGGTTTTAGGATTCATGCATCTAAAATACAATAGGGGGCCAGCACCAAATTACAAACTTTGAAGTAAAAAAAGCTGTGTTCTCGGCAGAAGAAGATCTTTGTTAGCTTATCTGATAAAAGGCTCATGTCTACACACCCAAAGGAGAGCAGAGGTGCAGTGCTGGGAGAGTAACCCCCCTGCCCTCATTAGAGACTCAAGCCTGGGCTCGTCCCAGGGCTGCCCCAGGACAGCCTCAATCCCATGGGCCAGGGCTGAAACCCATCATGAGGAGTCAGCAGGAGATGCTGTCCTGATCACCCTTCAGGCTGAGGGAGCTACTGCCTGCAGGGGAATGGGACACATTACGGGGTGCAGGGAAGAGCATTGTGGTATTGTACTAGATCTATTTCGGGATGTTTAGTGGAAGAACCACAGGCAGGGAAAGGGAGGGATTGAGATGGATTAGGAAGGAAAAAACAAGGAAAAACAGAGGGATAAGGGGATAAAAGGGGCCACTCCTGTGTAAGCAGGCTCTTGTTCAGTACCATTGTCTAGTTGTGCCCTGTGTTTGATCAGCACAGTCTGTCCTGTATCTTCTTGTGCTCCAATTCTAACTATTTTCCTGAGTAAAGGGACTCTCTGTCTGTATGCATGTGTGTCTGGAGGTTTAACTGCCAGCAACTGGAGCTGGACCATGGGTCAGAGGGTCGTGTGTGTCTGTGGTGCCAGCAATCTGGAGAGCACAGTGTGTGCCTATTGCATGGGTGTGAATGTCAGTGTGGGATCACTACTGAGTATCAAGCTGAAGTAACCAGCAAGTCAGATGAGTGCCTTGGGTGCCAGGTATCCACACGGCAAAAAGTCTGGACCAGATACTGGAGAGACCAGAGGGTTCAGCTGTTGCAGGGGCCCAGAGGTCCAGACTGACTACGGGAGCGACTGTACAGTCTGTGGGTTGACTAAGGGGCCTGTTTGCATCTGTGTGTCTTTGTGCATGAGGCAAGGGCAGACCAGGAAGCCAGGAGCCAGCTCCTGGATAGTCTGGGTGTCAAAGCCAGCTACTGAGAGCCCATAATGTTTATGTGGGGGTGTTAGTGGGCATGCAAGGTAACTGGGAGGACAGAGGGTCCAGGGCCAGTTACTGGGTACACTTAGTGTCTAAGGCCTGTTACTGCGGGATCCATAGTGTGCGGGGGTGGATGGGGATGTGTGAGTGTGTCCAGGGTTAAAAGAGGATCTGTATCAGCAGCTGGAAGGGAGCTGCAGGCCTCAGACTTGTATGTTCAAGTTCCAGCAAGTGAGACTGGGGAGCCAGGTCACAGCTCCTGGATAGACCAAGTGTCTAAGGCAAGTTAGAGGAGGGATCCGTGTTAAGTACATGCGTGTATTTCCACCTAAGCTATCCTTCCTCCAGATCAGCTGAAGAAGGATGAGGCTGTTCATGCCATTTGTGTTTGAGTGCTGAGTGTTTCTATCTGTGCATTGCTCACCGCGCATATGTATTGCATCTGTGTGCGTGCCTCTTGGGAACACACACTCAGCCTCACTACTGCTTCTAAATCACAGATTAAAAAGAAAGAGCTGCAGCAACCTCACCTCCATCAGGCTACCAGATTTGACAACTCCTAACAATCTTTAGTTTTTCAGGTGATTGGCTCTAGGGCCTGTGTTTTGCTTTGGGTTTTTTTTTTCCCCTGAGGAGGAAGAATTGTAAACTCTGTCTGTGTGTAGAAATTTGCTGCAACTATGTTGTTATGACTGTGAATGTCAGAACTACTGTCCATGCGTAACATGAAGTGTAAGATTTTCAAAATCCTTTGAATTTTAATGGCTTTCTAGGAAGTGTTTTGTATTTGTGTTTATTAATTACCTTTAGTAATTAGCTATGGGATGTAATAGTAATTAGCTATGTAATTAGTAATTAGCTGTGATAGCCTGTGTTGGTTCCTGTTTGCTTTCCTCCGCAGTTGCAGCAAAATATTCTGCTGAATTTGTATAAATAAGTATGTATTAATAATGCTGATGAAAGAGAGAGAAGTCAATGTCTAGATCCTAGGTGTGTTTGCAAAGATTATGTGTATAGGATTATATGATTTTTTTAAACCAAAATACTCAGGGAACCCCCAAAAACATGAGTCAGTTATCCTTTTAGAGTGCCATTAACCTCACTGTAAAAATAAAATAAAATAAAAAAATAAGTTATCAGTGAAGAGTAGAGCAAATAATGTATTAATATACTTAGTATTTTAATATGGTTCCTCCTCCCTGTAGAACTCTGAACATCTTTTGAAATGCCCAAAACCACATTAAAACTTTTCCTGGGAGTCTGAGTTACAAATTTAATACCCCACCTTTCCCAAAACATGAGATCTTTTGATCCATGTTTTTAATGCAGGATCTATCCCTGCTTGTTCTTAGCTTATGTCAGGTGTGGCTCATCAAACAGCAAAAGTCAACATTTGACTGGTAACCCAACCCCAGAAGCTCATTTTTTCCTGGGAAAACCTCAAATTAGACTGGTTTTGTTTTGTTTTGTTTTGTTTTGTTTTGTTTTGTTTTGTTTTGTTTTGTTTTTCTAACAGCTATAGCAGCCCACTTTCAGTTGCCACATGCTTCAGGAGTGAAAGTGAAACCCATAGTTCAATTCTACTGCTTACATAGT